TGTGCGCCCAAACTTTCGAGCGGATGTCGGCTGGTGTACTGTTACAGATACTGCTATTGTGCTGCCAAAGGTTCGAGTCGGGCTGAAGTCGGCTGGTGTACTGTTAGTGATACTGCTATTGTGCTGCCAAAGGTTCGGGTCGGGCTGAAGTCAGCTGGTGTACTGTTAGTGATACTGCTGCAGTCGGTGGATGCCCTGTCGGAGACAGCGTATCATAGAGAATTTCACTTTTCACATGAGCCCAGGAACTGGAACATGAGGGGTGCCAGAATCGGCCCTTGGCGGTTGAATAGGGTTGGGCGTGATAGCACTAGCCATGTTTATGGCTCTCTGAGACAGCGGGAGAGAGAAGTCCAGTTTGGCGCATGACAGTGGTATTGTATCCGGTTCATTGTAAATGTACATCTTCGGCCTTCTGCTGGAGGTCAAGATGACGTCGGCATCGTAGTACTGCATTTCCTGGTCCCACTGTCGCTTGACCCACTCTCCTTGAGAGACCTGGACTGTATCCATGAAGGGGCCTAGAGGAGATAAACACAGACGAAATGTTATAACCACCAGAAGCGTTTAAAAAGACTCACATAAATCACATATCCTCGATTTTTTGCCTAGGAAATTATGGTGTGCATAGTGATGAGCAAGCTGATAGACAGGCTGGTGCAGCTCCTCTCCTCCTCAGCATTCCAAGCCCCTGAGGTTCACTGCTGCGGATATCACCCGCCTCAATTTATCTTTCTGGTTGGCCTTCTCTCTTCAGTTGATGACATCAAGTGTTTGCAGGTTTGTTTGGACATTATCTCTACATATTCTTCTTGGTCTGCCTCGTGCTCTACGACCATTCATCTCCCTTGTAAATTTAACTTCTCTGTCATCTGACATTTTTTCAATATGCCTCAACCATTTCAGTCTATTAGCTCTCATGATGCCAGTGATCGGTGGTGATTTGAACAGATAATGAATTTCATTATTGCTTCTCACTCTCAATTTCCTGCTGTTTGCATCTTCGATGGGTCCAAAGATTCGTCGTAAGACTGTTTTCAAAAACCTGTAATAAGTCTTCATCTCTTTTAGATGTGCTTTGAGTTATATAAAACGGCTGGTCTTATCAACGTTTTATATATTTTGATCTTCGTGCTACGAGACAGACACTTTGACTTTAGCAGATGTTGAAGGGTATAGTTTACTTTATTTCCAGATTGTATTCTAAAATGGACGAGGTGATGCATTTGCTTCTCCGAATTGTACACGTTCTCCCAGAAGGCCCTAACTAGGTCTGCCTTATCATGCATCAATATTCTACCAAGTTGCGCAGACTCTGTCCGCCTGTTCATTTCCCAACACACCCACCGGCCGACCCTGGGGAAAGGATCCAGACCATCCTCTCCGCCCCTGACCTCCGAAGCGAAGCTAGCCACTCTGCACCAAGCATGCCTGTCCTCATCTTCCTTAGCATGCTTTCCGAGTCAACTGCCATCACGATGTGTGTGTGTGTTTGTGTGTGTGTGTGTGTGTGTGTGTGTGTGTGTGTGTGTGTGTGTGTGTCGTGTTCTCCACCAGCGGAATGCTGCAGTAACCGCCTCAACCTCCATTCTTAAACCGGATGTTGTGGTATCATAAAATAGGCTGTCCTGCACCAAAAGAAGTCAACCATTAGCTGTTTGCCTAAGAACCCCCAAGGACTGATATGTGGAATAACTAGTTACAGCAGTAGCATAACAAATACGATGCCACTCGGAAAACTGCACCACACAAGCACGCCGAAGACATATCTAATCTGATCAGTGATTTGTAAGGACCGGGGCTTTTTTCTTGATAGAACGCAACGGTACGCGGTACTGACACCTTTTTCGGAGCTACTGTAACAGGCTCTGTGTAATCAGTATAAGTGATTTGTAAGGACCCGGGCTTTTTTCCTGATAGAGCGCAACGGCACGCAGTACTGGGACCTTTTACAGAGCTACTGTAAGTAGGGCTGTACCAAATATTCGCTTAGTATTCGCTTCGGGGCCGAATAGTGGACCTATTGACTATTCGGTATTCGGCCGAATAGTTGCGGTCGGGCCGAATACGAATAGTAGTTACCTTACACCGGTTTCTGTATACGTTGCGTTATTGCTGACAACATGGAACGATCAGTTTTGTTGAAAGCTAATGCAGCTTTCATGCATTAACTAAGCTGTCAGTGACAATTTCCAAGTTTAGTTACTTGTTATAATACTGAGGATTATTTCATTCCTAGTTATTGGTTACCACAGACTGACTGAAGGATGCAAAACATTAACTATTTTTAAATGTTTACTATTCTGTACGGATACTAACTAGACATGGAAAGAATATAATAAACGTACGCCACACCCAGGTAGATAATATGAAAATCAAACGAACGAAAACATATAAGTACTCGGGTGCAAACTTCAACTGCTCCAACATACTGAGAAAGGAAATAAAATCTAGAATACAATCTAGAAATAAAGTATACTATGCCCTTCAACGTCTGCTAAAGTCAAAGTGTCTGTCTCGCAACACCAAGATCAAAATATATAAAACGTTGATAAGCACAGTCTTTTTTTACGGCTCTCAAACTTGAAGCACAAATGAAAGAGATGAGGTCTTACAGATTTTCGAAAACATTCTTACGACAAATCTTTGGACCCATCAAAGATGCTAACAGCGGGGAATGGAGAGTGAGAAGCAACATAGTAACATATAATCTGTTTAAATCACCACTGATCCCTGGCACCACGAGAACTAACAGACTAAAATGGTTGGGGCACATTAAAATTATGTCAGATCACAGAGAAGTAAAAACTGTATACACCTGAAAGAGGAATTGGCGTAGACCAAAAGGCAGACAAAACAGAAGTTCGAGAGATAATGTCCAGCCAGACCTGCAAACAAATGGTGTCACAAATGGTGAAGATGACGCCAGTCAGAGAAATGAATGGAGACGAGTGATATCTGCAGCAGTAAACCTCAAGGGCTCAGAATGCTACAAAAGATGACTATTCTGTGCTTCTTTATGTGAAGTAAAAGTTCAGTGTACATTTGACATTATGAATGTGTGTGTGTTTTTTTTTAAAGATATATTTTATACACTATACACTATTCGTATTCGGCCGAATAGTTGGCCCCTTTATTCGTATTCGGCCGAATAATGAAAATCACTATTCGGTACAGCCCTAACTGTTAATAGACTGTGTAATCAGTATTGGTGATTTGTAAGGACCCGGGCTTTTTTCCTGATAGAGCGCAACGGCACACAGTACTGACACCTTTTTTCAGAGCTACTGTAACAATACTGTGTAATCAGTACTTTTTTAGTCACTGTGGTAAGTACCGCTACTTTTTTTTTCAATGAGGGGGGGGGGGGGGGGGGGGTGGCGAACTTGGTGAGGACAAATCACAACACTCCAGACAGCTGCTCAGATGCTCTGATCTCCTCCTCAGCAGCTGTACAAACGTAAAACGGCTGATCTCGCTGTGATTGCTCAAAACGTCTTGAGTCCTTGGTGAAATGTCATGTCCGACAGCGGTTAAACGCCCACGTTAA